AATGTACTCTGTCACACGGCAGCTGGGGACAGGTTCTCTATGTTCAGAGGATTTAGCACCAATGTCTCCGTGTGCCGGGACTTTATGTTCCTCTTAAGACAATCTGTTCCCACATCTGGCGTTCTCTCAAACATCATTCTTACCTAGATCCCTTAAAACTTCCTCCAAATACTTACAGACATTTACAACTAGGAAGCAGTAGGCAGGAGTGAAAATCGCTCTCTCTTTCTGTGTGTGTAGTACATGTGTATGTAACAAATGGTTTGCCTTCTCATCAGCAGATGTACAATTCAAATTCAGTGACATTTGCTATGTCTATCACATTGTCCAACCATCACCATGATCTGCTTTCAAATTTCCACATCATCCTTTAAAAAAGCGGAGTGTCCCCTAAACAGTGAGTATCCCTTTACCCTTCCCTCTTGTCCAACCATCCCCCCAACTTCCAGTCTACTCTCATCTCTATGCATTGGCCCATCCTAGGAAGTACCTCTAAGTAGGAATTTATAATATGTGTTCCTTTGTGACTGACTCGGCAAGTGTTCAAGTTTCAGTCTTATTATAGTCTCAGGATGTAATTGATCTTTAAGGCTGAGTAATATTCCACCTTAGGTACGTATCACATTTTACTTATCCACTCATTCATGGATGAGCACTTAGCTGTTTCTACATTTGGTCCGTTGTGAGTAGGGCTGCAAGGAACACAGGTGGACACATGTCTGCCTGTGTTCCTGCTTTCCATTCTTCGGGGAATATTCTTAGGAATGAAATTGCTGGTTCGTGAGACAATTCTATATTTACCAAACTGCTTTCCATGCTGATTGTGCCATTTTAGAAATCGGTTTTCAAATAAGTGTAGACATGAGAGAGAGGAAGACTTCCAAGATCACAGCATCAGTTTCTTGACAGAGAGCCTCACCTGTCCCTCACCTGGTGAGTGCTCACCTACATGCTGCATAGAAGACTAGAATGAAGAGGTAAACTTCTACTCCATGTAAGAAGACTAGAATTTCCCAGAAGCCTCTCCCCAGACCTCCATTTCTCCACTCTTTTCTAGTTGCAAAGCATTGGCAAAGACTGTGAGGCTATTGGTGAAAGTTGCTGGTGAGTTATGACAGTTTTAACTTATTCTGTGATACCTCCAGAGAAGTAAAGAATTGGTCCTTTTCTTCCCTCCCAGGGACCTCCAGACGTTAAAAGGTTTTCACTAAGTTATAATCTGACTATATTGTTCATTGTGTGATAAAGAGTGTCCTAGCTAATATGAGAATAAAAATAATTTATAAATTATCAAAGTCTCACAGGGGTGGGGCAGGGAGGGGTACAAAGAGAAGCTGATACCAAGGGCTCAAGTAGAAAGACAATGTTTTGGAAATGATGATGGCAACATAGGTACAAAGGTACTTGAGACAATTGATATATAGATTGTTATAAGAGCTAAAAGAGGCCCCAAAATAATGATTTATTAAAATAAAATAAAATTGGAAAAAATAAAGAATGTCCTTGCCAGAAATTCAGCCAAAGACACAAAGAATTCTCTTTTTGTGACCCTCCTTTATCCTCAGAGTGCTTCCCTTTCTTTGACAAGCTTTTCTTATAATTACTAGACATTTCTAGATTTTGTGGTGAGTGTGTATGGGTGTGAAGGAGGAGGGAGGTCTATTTCTTTTCCAAGGTTTCCTGATCCATGAAGCCCCAAACCTCAGTATGTCCGTTTTCCTGGAACTAGTCCTTCTATTAACTGAGAGGGAATAAGCAAAAGCTATTGCAATCCTTGGAAGATGTCAGACTTCTGAAATATCTTGCAGATATGTGACTCTATCTTTGCAACTCTCAGGCCTGCCTTCCTCTCTCGTCCTACCCCACCTCCACCTCCGTATAATATGGTTGCTTTCTACATGGAGCTAGCTCTCTAAGCTCCAGGAGCTATCTTCAACATACTGAGTAGAATACATTATTTTCCATAGGTAAGACTCCCATAGCCTTGGTGGTACAGTAGTTACTAGTTGGGTCATGAATGGTAAGGTCCACAGTTAAAAGCCACCTAAAGTTCTGGGGCTTTCTACTCTGTGAAACTCACAGAGGCATCAACTTCATGACAACAGTTCAAACCCATTGGCTGCTCCAGGAGAGAAACTGAGGCTTGGGGTTTTCTGCTTCTATTAAGATTTACAGAAATCCCAAATGAAGACTGAGCATGATAGTGGGACAAGAGGAAGGTAAAAGGAAACAGAGGAAAGAGCTCGGGGGCAAAGGACATTTATAGAGGTCTAAATAAAGGCATATACATATGTAAATATATTTATATATGAGGATGGGGAAATAAATCTATGTGCATATATTTATAGGTTTAGTATTAAGGGGGAAGACGGACATTTGGCCTCCACTCAAATACTCCCTCCATGCAAGAATACTTACTTCTATTAAACTGGCATTCTGTGATGCTCACCATCCCTGACACAATCGTTGAAGACAAAATGGGTGAATAAACAAATGTGGTGAAGAAAGGTGATGGTGCCCAGCTATCAAAAGATAGAGTGTCTGGGATCTTAAAGGCTTGAAGGTAAAGAAGTAGTCATCTAGCTCAGAAGCAACAAAGCCCACATGGAAGAAGCACACCAGCCTGTGTGATCACGAGGTATCAAAGGGATCAGGGATCAGGCATCATCAGAACAAAAATCCTATCATTTGTGAATGAGGGGGAGTACGGGGTGGAGACCCAAAGCCCATCTGTAGGCAATTGGACATCCCCTTGTGGAAGGGTCACAGTGACAGAAAAGCCAATCAGGGTGCAGTGTAGCAACCATGAAACATACAACTTTCCTCTAGTTCCTAAATGCTTCCTCCCACCCACTATCATGATACGAATTCTACCTTACAAATCTGGCTAGACCAGAAGATGTACACTGGTACAGATAGGAACTGGAAACACAGGGAATCCAGGGTGGATGATCCCTTCAGGACCAGTGGTGTGAGTGGTGATACTGGGAGCATGGAGGGAGGGTGGGGTGAAAAGGGAGACCTCCTCCCTGGGGGATGGATAACATAAAAGTGGGTGAAAGGAGACGTCAAACAGTGCAAGATATGACAAAATAATAATTTATAAATTATCAAGGGTTCATGAGGGAGGGGAGAGCAGAGAGGGAGAGGAAAAAGGAGGAGCTGATGCCAGGAGCTTAAGTGGAGAGGAAATGTTTTGAGAATGATGAGGGTAATGAATGTACAAATGTGCCTTACACCATTGATGTATGTATGGATTGTGGTAAGAGTTGTATGAGCCCCTCATAAAATGATTTTAAAAAAAAGATTTACAGAAACCAAAAGGGAATCAGCGAGGTTTTGGGTTTGGTGTGTTTGTTTTTAATGCAACAACTGTTGTTCTTGCAGCTCCGTTTAAAATAGTACAAATGGTGCTGGGTTCTCAGCCATGCTCACAGTTTGTTGGCGCCCATTGTTGCTGTCACTGCTCAATCCATCCTGTTTCTGATCATCTTTCTTTTGGGCTGGCCCTCCACTTTACCAAGCATAATGCAGTAATTATCTCTGAAGGAGGACGCTGCATTCGAGACGGAAGACTTTGATTCTCATTTTGACTAAACTATCACTTTTTTTAGTTTCAATTTCTTTATCTATAAAGATTTTTGTTTGTTTGTTCTCAGTTCTGTCCCGGGGTCGCCTATAATGATGGCGATCTTGGAAGGTGGCAGAGAGGAGTAGATTTCAACCTAGCGCATTCAAGCTTTTATAGGAATATCAATATTTCACACTATGGGTCAAATGAGTTTCCGGCCACTAGGATCCATTTCAAGATGTTCCCTCCCAATTTCCCCATTGTTTTCTCCCTTTGAATAGTGTCTAGAAAGATGGTGATTTTGAGAGATGATTTTGGGGGGCCGTGAGCTCATCTCAAAGTTCTGGAGAAAGAAAGATGCTGAACCTTTTAGTTTAGTTCTCCCCCGCCCCCCCCCCCCCCCCCCCCCCCCAGTTCTTTTCTTCAGGTGTTTTCTGGGAAATGCTTTTCTATAGTTTAATCAGCCCGCCCACCAGGGAATCGCTCTGTTTTCTTCCAGTCTTTTAGCAGATCTGCTGTTAAAAGCAGGGAGACCTGGCGCTGCTCAGGTTAAAGAGCTCCAACTCCCAGCTCAGCGCAAGAGGGGGCGGCGGGAGGGGGGGCGGGGTTCTCAGCAGGACAAAGATGTCAGTTGGATCTCCTCAAGCTTTACCGCCCTGGGAATCCTCTGGGGGCAGCTGTCCTTTGTCCTGTAAGGTCGCTGTTAGTCGGAGTCGAAGGGGCCAAAATGGGCTTGCTCTGGGGCTCACTAAGCACATCGCTCTTTTGTCTTTCTTTAGAGGGAGGACATAATTCACACAACTATCCGTTTTCTTCTGACTGTTTTATAACACAGGGATACCAGAAACTTTAGGAGGATCTCTGGTTTCAAGAATCTCAGGTTCTCCAGAATGGCGCGTGCACACTGACCCTCTAGAACATCGGTTCTCAACCTGTGGGTCGCGACCCCTTTAGTGGGGGGTGTGTGTGTGTGTGTGTGTGAAACAACCCTTTCACAGGGGTGGCCTAAGATCCTCGGAAGAGAAATATTTCACAATATATCATTACATATTGTTTTGTGATTAATCACTATGCTTTAGTTATGTTTCATTATGTTCAATTTGTAACAGTGAAAATACATCCTGCCTATCAGATATTTACATGACGATTCATAACTAGCAAAATGACAGTGAAACGAAATACTTTTATGGTTTGGAGGGGGGGGGTCCCCACCACATGAGGAATCATATGAAAGGGTGAGGAAGGTGGAGAACCACTGCTCTAGAAAACACTCTGGTCCCACCTCCCACGTGCCCTGCGGGATTGCCCTTCCCCAACTGCAGCAGGGGGAGGTTGGGACCGAACGCGCTGCTCTGTGATTGGAGGGCGAGTTGTCAAACCAGTCCCTGCCTGGGGCTCAAAAGTAGCTGAGATTCCCGGGAACTCCGACTCCTAGGACCTCGGAATGCGAGCCATGACCCGGCTTTTCTGGGCTTCCTGTCTTTTCCCGTGGCTCCTGGTGGGCTCCATCCAGCCGAACCCAAACCAGAAGACAAAGGTGAATATCTACCTGGGGAAGGGGGCCGGGGGGGTGGGGGGGGCGGAGACCGGGGACTCGCTTGGCCATCAGAGAGCAAGGAGTTCTGTCCTCCCTTCTTCTCTGAGGCTCAGATCTGCCTTCCCACCTCATCTTCGGGACTTCTGCGTCGGTGCCTGGGGCTCCTCCACATCGCCCCTCGCTTACCTGTTTCTTCTGCACCTGGGGCTCATCGAGGCCTGTATGCACCAGGAACAAAGCATGCACTCCGCTTCCCCTTCCCCCTGGGGGCCGCCTGATAGCCCAGAGCCAGGCCCTCCAAACTTATCTCCAACTAGTCTTATGGGCAGTCAGGAAGGTCTCAGGAAAGTGGCTGGGACGTGACAGGCAAGTAGGTTAAGGAGCCGGACTTAGAGGCTGCCCCAGTCAGAAGCCAGGAGGTGTCAGGGAGAGAGTTTCCTTGTTTGTGTTTGGCCTTTTAGCCCCCCCCCCTCCTGGAAACAACAAGCTACACCAGGTTAATGGTAATTCCAGTGGAGATCCCATGGAGACAGGCTTCCATCTAAGGAAGGGAGGATGCTCTTAGGTGGGTCGAGGTACCGACCCCCCTTAGGTGCCAGCCTTCCCTGTGAAAGATGCATATATAGATCTGGAGGCTTATGGGGTGGGGTTGGGAGTTCAGGATGACAAAGATGATGTGAGGAGCTAACTTTAAAGTCAGACAAATTCATTAAAAACTTGAGCCTCCCTGTGGCCTTACACCAGACACGGATCTCCTATTGGGTTCTTTCTCTTGTGGAAAATAATATCCAACTTACAGTGCAGGGCAACTCAGACCTTAGCTTGCGTGTGAATCATGCAAAGAACTTGATTCCGGTCCATAGCTCTCAAGTGGGGCTCAGGAGCGTGCATTTCTCACATTACCCCGAGGTCTGAGGTCTCAGGCCACACTTGCAATGATGATGCATGCACATAAAATCAACAATTGGTCCCTGTCAAAAAGTCACTCCCTCTTCTTGGGGTGTAGGGGAGGGGGAGAAGCATTGCAATTCCCAGGATTAATTCCCTAGGACTTGCCATTGCAGTAGCAAGAAAGGCGCATTGCTAGAAATTGTTTAACACAGAGCAAATTTGGCAAAAGCACAGGCACTTAAATGGCTAGCCTTTTAGGGGGTTCCTTGACTACTGTACCCAAACGTGTGTATGGATGTAGGAACACTCGGGAAAGGGGTCTTCAGAGGAGCCTCCGTCTTGCCAAGGTTGCCTGGTGCCTTGTTGTCAGAAATGATTGCCTTAATAGATGATAAAAGGCCTCCTGGCCTCACGCTCACCATAGACGCTCATGGACAGAAGCGCCCTTCCTTGCATGCGGTCAGATCTCGATGGACGAAGACCCCGTGTCGCTCAGCTTCTGGTGCTCTAAAATTCTGACTTTGCTCATCTCTAAACTCCATCTTTTAGCCTCGAAATGCTTTTCATTAGGAAAGGTCCCTTAAAAATCATAAATCCCAATTCATGAACAGTCTACTTTATTTCTCCACACACGGGAGTGAGAAGGGTCTAAGCCAACATGCGCACCCCCTGGGCAAAGCGCCAGAAAGGCTATTCAGCGGGATCCAGAAGAGGTGCATGCGTGTATAAATGTATGCAGAATTGCTTTCTATTATGAGAAACTCCATAAACATCTGTTAAGAATATCTGGGAAGGGATGGATGGCTAGAACTGGGATTAAGGATGGGGGCTGGGGTACAATGTCAGAATGGAGGTGAGTGGAATTAATCTTCCAGAATTGGGAAAAGCATTATGAAGTGCTTGTTCACACACACACACACACACACACACACACACACACCCCACAAATGACATAAATTCAAGTCGTGGCATGAAACCAGACTATAAATATTACAATATTACATGTAACAGTCTCCTTAATTATCAGAGATTGAATTTGTAACATTAAAGGTCTTTGAGTAATTTTAGAAAAGTTTACAGATGTTGGGAATTCCTGTTTATGTTATGCCTGCACCACATGACTGTCTTGCTTCCACTTCAGACGGAGTGCTATGAAGGGGTGACAGGCACCATCTATGAGTACGGAGCCCTCATGATCGATGAGGAGGAATATGTCCCGTTTAAGCAGTACAAGGGCAAGCACCTGCTCTTTGTCAACGTGGCCACCTACTGAGGCCTGACAGCTCAGTATCCTGGTAAGAACTCATGTTTCAATTCTTTTAGAACTAGCTTTGCCAGACAATCATAGCAGAATTCCAGAACATGTTGCTAATGTATTCTTTCTGGCATTGTGAGTAAATAGGTAACCACATGATTCCAATTCCTAAGTCATACCACTGCTATGCTCCTTAGAGGGCCATGAGAATTACCTGCATACTTGAGAACTAAGACTCTCCCAAAGATTGCACTAAACAAAGGCCCCCAGGAACACACATGTCATCAAACAAGTTGAGTTTATAGAACTTCACGTGGGAGAAGATGCATTTTGGAGGACCCATAGGACTCTGAAAAAAGGTGTTTTAACTTATTCAGAGAACGGGGCTCGTATTAAGCTATTTGGTCAAGGGGTCAAGGAACTTGAAGTTGTTATCTCAGTTGGATGCTATCAGGAAATGGGGGCCATTCTGTGATTGGCTATATTAGTAACTCATATCTACACATGAAGGGGAATAAAGCAAGACTTCTAATCATTTGCTCCACCCAGATCCTCCATTTCTGCTCTAGAAGAACATATGCTTAATTACTACAGCAGAAGATGAGTGTGAATACTAACTAAGGAAATATGTAAACCATTTTCCACTTAAGAACCAGTTCCTAGAGGAGATGCCCGCAGGTAGAGCTGAGACTAAATGGTGCTATCGGAGGCTCATTAAGGGGACTAATAAAGATGGCCTGAAAATTATCAAGGTGGTAATGATGGTATAAGCCTGGTATAAGATGGTTTCCTGACAGTAATAAGAGAATACCTTTGTGCCCTGTGATCCTGGTGAGAATTTCAAGGAACCTGGCGTTGGTTGCTGTTGACTAGGACCCTCCTTCTAGCAACCCTGTGTACAATGGAAGGAACACTCCACAGTCCGGCACCACCCTTACACTTGTTCTGGTTGGGCTCAGGGCTGCAGCCACTACGGCAATCTAGCTCAATGGGAATCTTCCTCTTTTCACTGGCATTACCAAGCCCGATGTCTTCTTTCAGGGACATCAATTAGATAATTGGAATTGATCAAAGAGAAGGGAGTACTCTGAAGATATGTTTGGAATTTCTCTGATTCCTAGGTATTCCTGGGATGTGACTGGAATGCCCGCATAATCTCAAGATAGGCCATTAAGGCGCAGAGTTGGGACAGGGAGTAGCAACAAAACAAAACAATTTTGCCTTTTCTTTTTTAAAAAATTGATTCTCCATACCTCACCTAATTCATAAAAAATTATGGTCCACTTTGGAAAATATTGTATGAGGTAAAAAGGGAGCCATTTGGATGATATTTTGGAATTCTAGCAATATCTCTGTGTTAGTCTGGGTACTTTAAAGAAACAAATCCACAGAAATTCATGTATAAGAGAGAGTTTTACATAAAGGTTCAGTGCGCATCAAGAAAACATCCCAACCCAGTGCTGCCCAAGCCCACAAGTTCAACATTAACCCATATGTCCAACACCAATCCACAAAGTTCTCCTCCACCTCAAAAAACACACACTATGATGCCGAGTCACTGAATGTGTAAACATCTCAGCACTGGCAGGGGTCTCCACACAGGTGCTCCAGCACCCAGGGCTGCATCGGGGTAGGTCCATGTGGCTTCTCCTTGGGGGTGTCTTGCAGGAAGTCAGCCTTGCCAGCTGAAGCAGGGAAGTGCTAAGGCAGCTGCACCCTGGTGCGACCACCACAAAGCAAGAGACCCGAGAACTAGAAAGGCAAGGCTCACCGAGCCATTTATCTCTCCAACCTTCAATTAACTCCACATGTGTTTATCGGCCAGGTTGGCACAATAAACTAACTATTTCATCTGTAACCTTAAACATGTCCCTTGCTAAAGCTTGGTTTCTTTGTGTGATAAATAGAAAAATCCAATGGTGCTTTTCTGATCCAAGTGGGGATACTGGTCAAGTTCCCCACACGCTTCTTTCTCTGCCTGCAGAACTGAATGCACTCCAAGAGGAACTGAAGTCTTCTGGCCTCGTTGTGTTGGGCTTTCCTTGCAACCAATTTGGAAAACAAGAACCGGGAAAGAACTCGGAGATCCTTAATGGACTCAAGTGAGTGCCCACCTGAAACTCTGCCAGAGGCCCTTTCCTTCTGGAAACTTCTGGTACGGGTGGTAGATTAATGGGTTCAAGATCATTTCCTTGATGCTTTAAATTATTTCTTGCCTTTGTAGCAATGCTGAAAGTATTCTCACAAATTTTGAATTATCTGATGGTGTAAGACCAGGAAAAGGTCTAGTAGAAAGGAAGCACAGAGAAGCTGGATCTAGAGTTGGGAGGTTAGGGGAAAGGATGGAATATAGGAGGCAGAATGGACCATGAGGAGACTCATGAAAGAGGAGAGAAGGTCCATCTCCATTCACTATATTTAAAGTCAAATAACAGAAACCTCCCAACTTTCTTGGCAATCGCTATTGGCTCCATGAAACCAAACACATGAAGTCCACATACCCAGAAACCTCTGTTGCTTCATCTTCTCTATCTCACTCCTCTCTCCCTTTAAGTCTCATTTCCATTTTGGGGGGCGGGGGGCAAATTGTGGTAGTCATAATTATATGGTCTTATCTTAATTTGAGGAGCACTGGTGGGATAGTGGTTATGCATTCGGCTGCTAACCACAAGGTTGGCAGTTTGAAAGCAGCAGTTGCTCCTAAGGAGTGTCTTGTAAACTCACAGGGGGCAGGTCTACCCAGAGTTAACTGTGTCAACTCAATGGCAGTTAGTTCGGTTTGGCCTTAATTTGGATCCTTCAGGGAATACTTGGGTTTATTACAGGTATGTGCGCCCAGGGGGTGGCTTTGTCCCCAATTTCCAGCTCTTTGAAAAAGGAGATGTGAATGGAGAAAAAGAACAGAAAGTTTATACTTTCTTAAAGGTGAGTGAACACAATTCTGCATGGCTTGGTTAGGCTAGGATATATGAAAGTAGGGGACTCCATGGAGGGAAAGCGATTTTCAAATAAGTTTAGGGGTCATGACAACCAATAATTTGGAGTCTGACTTCTAGCAGCAGAAACATGTAATGTTTGTATGATAAACTCTTGAGAAAAAATGACAATGCTGGGAGTGTTGTATTTATTATATAAGGCTTAAATTATTGAACATAAAATACCATTATGTATTTGAATATTAGGTTAAAACATATAGACAGTTTCGTTCAAAATGATAACAGAAATTTTAAGATTTTTTTAATTGAATTTTCTTTAAAAAATGTTTAATGTTGGTGGTTTTACATTAATCTCCAATGTGTGTATGTGTATCTTGAACTATTACTGGTCTCTAAAGTCCTTTACTGAAAATAACTACATGCCATTATTTATTGGTTAACAAAACTAAAGCAAGACAAATTACATTTATTTAAGCACCTTGATGCAATTATGGAACTAGGAGACAAAAGTAAGAGAAATGATTTCTGTTTAGCATCGTAGTACGTAGCTCTGGGTATTTGAGTGGTACTTGTAGTGGTGACGATTCATAGAAAAGTCTGTGGTTGATGGGAGGCATGTCAGGTCATTAACATGAGTTTATTGAGATATATGATGGGGAATAAGACTACCTAGAGATGGCGACCCGATAGAAACAGAAATAAGCTTGTCTTTTTAATTTTTATCTCTCTGCTCCAGAATTCCTGCCCTCCTCCCTCTGAGATTTTGGGTTCATCAAGTCAACTTTTTTGGGAACCCCTAAAGGTCCATGACATCCGCTGGAACTTTGAGAAGTTCCTGGTGGGCCCTGATGGAGTCCCTGTCATGCGCTGGTATCACCGGGCTCCCGTCAGCGCAGTCAGGGCAGACATCCTTGAGTACCTGAAGCAGTTCGAAGACCAGTAGCAAAAGCCAGAGAGTTGCAACCGGCTTCCACCTGAAGGACTTGCTAGGAATTCATTTTACCACACATGCCTTGTAACTCTGTCTGCATATGACCAAACCATCTTGTACTACCAAAGCACCCATGTAGGTGTTTGAAGAATTAAGGGTGGGAAACATATTTCCCCAACTCTCTCTTCACAAATTATCCATCTTTCTTTTGACCTCTTCCAAAAGACAGTCCTCCTTTGAGGTGGATGACTCAGATCGCCCGCTCCCACGCCCACCCCAACTGAAACAAACGGCTGTCATAGTGCCCAATGCAACTCATGCCGGACTACACGACAGGGCAGAACTGCTCCATGGAGTCCCAAGTCTGTAACTCATCACTGGAGCTGGCGGCTACCTCCTCCCAGCACAGAGCAGCTGGTGGGTCCAAACCACCGAGCACTTTTCAGACGACCGCATGATTCCACAAAGGCCAGACTCAGACAGCTGACGTCTATCCTTACCCCATCCTGAAGGCTTACAGGAAACAGGAGCTGGTAGCAAGATGGTCTAGGTCGGCTTCATAGAAATTAGTCATGCACTGTGACGCTCCTCTTTTCTCTTCATCCCCGATACCCAGCAGTCCTCCTATAGAACCTCTGAAGGCAGAGTGAGAGCAGAAACCTCACCTCACATGAATGGAGGGGCATATCCATGATGGTGGGTCCCAAAGCCTCTCTAGGTCGGACCCTATCAGAATCTTCCCTGGTGCCTGTCCCTTAGTGCATTCAGGTCATGGCACCTAGGCAGGGATGTCCCTTTACTCTGGATGGTGGGCTGTCTCCTCTCACCCTGGATCTCTCCAACTTTGGAGCCAGTCTTATCACTGTCTCAAATAATAATACACCTGCCACAGCTGGGAGCAGTGTGCTGTTTTCCTAACCCCATGTTAACACCTGGAGTCATACTCCTTCTGCTTTTGCTTTGTCCTTCATCTCTTGACCACGTAACTTAGTCAGTTTTCATTTTGTCGTTCTCAAAAGATCTTTAGTGTCCTATTTCGTCCACTCAAAAGCAGTAGCCAGTATCACTGGCTGGGCCTGGGTGCTCATAGCACTGCTGGGACAGTGAGTACAGACCTCTTAGAATTAAGACCCATCTATAACTTCTCACGCGGGTCTCCTGAAATGGCTCTACAGGAGGAGAATCCTTAGCTCTGAAAGGATCTTCTTATTCTCAACAAAAGCACACATCTCTGTTTATTAAATTAATTAATCCTTACTGCTAAAATCAGAAAACACACAAAGCTAGAAACATTTAAAAATAATTTCCTTAACAAATACCATATATACTAGAGTATAAACCGACCCGAATATGAGCCAAGGCACTAAATTTTACCACAAAAACTGCATTAAACATGTGCTGAAAAACTCAGCTTACACGCGAGTATATACAGTAATCGAAGGACTTCCATGGACTTTGACAATGAATCCAAATAAAATGAAATCTTTGACATTTTCAGTCTTTTCTTTGTGAAACATGATGTTGCTTATTACTCCTGGTTTGAAGATACTTGTTTTCTTTATGTGGAGGTATAATCCATACTAAAATCGGTAGTCTTTGATCTTTAGTAGTAGGTAGTTCAAGTGTTCTGCACAGTCATCAAACAAGATTGTATCATGTCCATATTGCAGGCTGTTAAGAGTCTTCCTCTAATCCTGATGCCTTATTCTTCTTCAGATAGTCCAGCTTCTCAGATTATTTGCCCAACACACAAACTGAATCAATACGGGGAAAGGATATAACCTGACCACACCCTTTTCCTGATTTGAAACCATGCAATATCCCCTTACTCTATTTGAATGGTTGCCTTCTGGCCTATGTACAGTTCCAGTAAGGGCACAATTATATGGAGCATAATCCTGTTGTGCATCTAAAACGTGATCCCTGACTTGATCTTTTTATATCAACACGAGTATTGACAAACTAAAGCAGACACAGAAGAGCCAGCAAAGTAACTATATAGATCCTAAAATTCCTAGGTGGTAGACACCCAGGAGAAATGGAAACTATCTTGAAAACAATGTAATGTTTTGTCTTCTTGAACTTAAAATCTAGGAGAGAGAAGCAAAAAGCCACACACCCTGGGATTTGGCTCTTCCAGAGAGCTTGTACTAGGTTCTGTGGGTCAGAATTGACATGATTATGCAGATGTGAAGGCAGTGGAGGGATTACAGAAGGGCCAGGCACAGCATTTGGCTCACCCAGCTTCTCTTAGATTCCTACCTGTATTTTCTCTGTTCAACATCTACGTTTTGGCATCTTTGTGGTACACCGAGATCATGCTCTGAATTTAGGTTTAAAATATTTGATTATTGATAAATTTGGAACGGATAATCACAGTTCCAAATTCTACTCCAACTTGGAACTCCAATCTGAAGAGAAAGGAGTGATGAGCAGTGTGACTGACAAAAACATGGCAACAGAATGAGGAAGAACCCTCCATATGCAAAGCTGTCTTGGAAGAAGTACAGCCAGGGTGCGCCTTAGAAGCAAAGACAGGAGACTCTCTCACTCTCTCTCTCTCTTTCAGAAGGGACCAGTCCCTGAAAGAAGGAAGTCGTCTTAGGTAAAACGGAGGGCCAATGAAAACCAGGAAGAACCTTTATGAGATGGAATGACCCAGTGGCCGCAGGAAAGGGTCAAACATAGCAAGAATTATAAGAAGGGTGCGGGGCAGCATTTGATTCCGTCGTACACCAGGAGTCAAAAACTAATTCAGTGGCATCTAATAATAACAACACACTCTCCTGGTACTGTCCCTGAATGAAAAACAGGTACTATTGTTCTGGGAACAGCCAAAATCAGGGAAATGAAGTTTTCTATCCAGAACTACTTACCAATGGAGGAGAAGGTAACGGAGGGAGAGTCATGGGGGCAACCTCCATGACTTGATCAAAGGTAGTCAATAATACTGATGGTCTTTACAGGGAGGATCAAGAGATAAGGTTGTTCACATCTTCCCTCCTTACCAATCCCTATAATAGACCATGGTACTGAAGGGAAGTCACATCAGGTCCATTATAGTAGCCACAACTTTACTACTTGTAGCAATAATGATATTGATAGTAATAGCTATTGTGGTAGTTACATAATCTGATGTCAATTTGGGATTTGAGAGGATTAAAAGTGAAGGGGTGGAGTCTAGTCTCTCAACCGGGTTATAGCCAATGAGGCCTCTGTGGGGGCATGGCCTTCCCCTGAGGATTCTGGGAATTCCTATGTTTCCTCCTTGGAGACAGGAGACACTTCTCTGTCTCTGCTCACTCCCCGATAGACGCTCTACTGACAAGACACATGGCACTACGCTGATAGACCCCATGCCCTGGGAACTGGAGGAGCCATGTGGAGACCCCTACCAGCTCTGAGATGCTTCTACCTTCACTGGATCCACAAGACTTTGCACCCACTGGCCTGTGATCTTCCTGCATTCGGCATCATTGCATGTGTTTGTGAGTCTGAAGAGGACTTTATAGATT